AAAATAAATAAAGCAGAAATAAATAATTTAACGGAAATGAGCATAAGTAATGAAATTAAAACTAAATACAGTGATGTGTTTCAGGGTTTGGGTTGCCTACCTGGTACTCACAACATCGAAATTGATGAACAAGTTCCTCCAAGGATCCATCCTCAACGGAAAGTACCCTATGCTCTCCACCAGCAACTCAAGGACAAGCTGACAGAACTCGAAAATTCTCAAATCATTAGGAAAGTCACAGAGCCTACGGATTGGGTAAATAGTTTAGTAGTAGTAAAAAAGCAAAACAATGATTTACGACTTTGTATTGACCCTAAAGATTTGAATGTAGCAATCAAAAGGGAACATTTTTATATACCTAGCTTAGATGATATAACAAATAAACTCAAAGAAACTAAGTATTTTTCAGTATTAGATTGCAGTAATGGGTTCTGGCAGATTAAATTAAATGAAAGAAGCTCTAAATTAACAACATTTAACACCCCTTGGGGTAGATATCGTTTTTTAAGATTGCCTTATGGCATCAGTTCAGCTTCTGAAGTCTTTACTAGAAAACTGAGAGAGATATACGAGGGCGTAGAGGGCATAGGAATATTTGTGGATGATATTTTAGTATATTCAAAAACCTTGGAGGAACATAAAAAAATTTTAGATAAATAATTATTCTTGGTAGCTAAAGAAAATAATGTTAAATTTAATTTAAATAAGTGTAAATTTTGTCTAGATCATGTTAAATACATGGGTTTTAAATTGTCTAGGAAAGGTTTAGAGGTCGATGAGAGTAAAGTCGAGGCCATAAAAAACATGCAAGAACCAAAATGTCCAAAAAACATTGAAAGATTTCTTGGTATAATTAATTATGTTAGTCGTTTTATACCTAACTTCTCGGAAATAACCGAACCTTTAAGAGATATAATTAAAAAGGGAACAACATTTGATTGGACCGAAAAACAACAAAAATCTTTTGAAACTTTAAAATCTTTACTTAGTTCAGCACCAATTTTACAGTTTTATTCATCTAAATTGCCTATTGTGATATCTTGTGATGCTTCTCAAAGTGGTTGTGGTTCTGTTTTACTACAAAATGATGCTCCAGTTTCATATGCATCAAAAGCTTTCACAGACACTCAAAAAAGGTATGCTCAGATAGAAAAAGAACTGCTATCTATTTGTCATGCATGCAATAAATTTCATAATTATATTTATGGTCGTTCAGATATTATCATAGAAACAGATCACAAACCATTGATAAACATAATAAATAAACCTTTAACAATTGCTCCGGCAAGACTTCAAAGGATGCTTCTAATGCTACAACCTTACAATTTTAAATTAGTTTACAAGCCTGGAAAGAAATTATTTTTTGCAAATGCTTTGAGTAGAGCTTATCAAAATAATCATGACAGCAAATTTGAAAAACACTGTGCAGAAATTGAAAATCACTTACTTTTCACAACTAAAAACATGGCAATTAGCTCTGAAAAATTTGAATTACTCAAAAATTAGACTGCAAAAGATGTTCACCTGCAAGGGTTAATCAATTTAATCTGTACAGGATTTCCAGACTCTAAGAAAAAAGTAGAAAATGAATTTAAACAGTATTGGTGTTATCGTCATCAACTTTTTCATGCAAAGGGCATTATATTTAAAGATAATAGAATTTTTGTACCAAAAACTTTGAGAAAAGAAATGCTAGCAAGATTACACATATCACACCTAGGTAAAGTAAAGACAAAATTAAATGCAAAACAACTTTTATTTTGGCCTCTAATTAACTCGGATATCGAAAACATGATAGAATCATGTGATGTTTGTATGTCAAATAGTAATAGTAATCAACGTGAGCCTCTAATTTCTCATGAAATTCCCCTAGGAGTATGGAAAAAGGTTGGAACAGACTTATTTTACTTTAAAAATAATACTTACCTGATTTGTGTGGACTATTATTCCAAATACGTCGAAGTAGAAAAGCTTCACTCGGAAACTTCTCAAAGTGTCATAACTGCTCTAAAGAAAATTTTTGCAACACATGGAATTCCTGAAAACGTTGTTTCTGACAATGGACCTTGCTACAGCTCGAGGGAGTTCAATATTTTTTCTCAAAAATGGCAATTTAAACACATAAAAACAAGTCCGCATTATCCTCAAAGCAATGGCCAAGTTGAGAGATTCGTACAAACAGTGAAAAATACACTAAAAAAGTGTTATGAGTCAGGAAACGATTTTTATTTGGCTTTATTGGACTTAAGAAACACTCCAATTGCACCAAATTTACCAAGTCCTTCACAGTTAATTTTTAGTAGAAGATTGAAAACTACAATTCCTATATTAGAAAAATTATTAAAACCAAAAGTCCAGCCTCTTTCCATAACAAAAAATAAGTTAGTCGACAGACAAATTAAACAAAAAATATATTTTGATAAAAATAGTAAAGAATTGAGTGAATTGTCAAAAGGAACATTTGTAAAAGTAAAAAATTATAAATTAAAAAGTCAGGAAAAATGGTTGAAAGGAATTATAATTGGGAAAAATAATGTGCCCAGGTCATACAATGTAAAACTCGAATCTGGAAGTATTGTATCCAGAAATCGAAAACACATAATAATTGCAGGAAAAAATAATTTGTCACAAAATTCAAATAATTATAGTTCAACGAAAAGTTATAATCAATTCAAATATGATGATATCATTGACAACGATAGAAATCAAAATATACAAGAGCCACCTTCACCTTCTATAGCAAGCAGTAGAAGTGAAGGAGTGAATGACTCAGATTCTTACGAAAGTCTTGATTATGATTCTTCTGAGGACAGAGGGAATGGAGTATAGCCAAAGCACTCTCCAGTGAGAACTACTTCTGGTAGAATAGTGATAGTTAAAGTAATTACAGAACATTACATATATTAACATTTTCAATTCCTAGACCGAAAGTCCTTTCAATCTGTCTTGAGACAAAGATGATCGAAAGTGCCTTGATGAGCGATGACAGGTGACAGGGGTGATACGTAAATTAACTAGACATGTTGTTGGATCTTTTATTATCTCCCTATTATCCTTGGGCATAAAATATTTTTGTTAATTAACTTGTTCACTCGAAATAAATTTGTTTGCAATTTGGCGCCCCTAATCGTGGCGCCCTAGGCGGTTGCCTCAGTTGCCTGTGCCTAAATCCGGCCCTGAGCATACGCCACTGTGAAAGCCCGCACATATAAAGTTGCCGAGTAAGGGATAATCAGCCTGGTACCTAGTACCGTCATATCAAGGTTTCGCCGACACAAATGCAAGCATCAGCAGTATATACAATTTAAATACGGCGCGCGGAGCCTTTCAACTCATTCTCTTGTTTTTAGCTTAGACTATAGCAATTAGAATCTAAGATTCTTTTGTTCTCGGCTTTTGCCGCAGCAATTTAGAGACTTTTTTGTTGTAACTTCTTAGTTTTTAATAAAATAAATAGTTTTTAAAAACAATAAGATTCTGAACGAAATAGTATATTGTTGTATTAGGAGTAGAAGCTTTACTACTGCGGTTGCCTAGCAGCACAAAAAAGTGCTTCTACTCCGTATGCAACACGTTATTTTTTCTCCAAACGAATGAAGTAAGCTCGGGGGTAACTGGATGGTTAAGCGGCAGTAAAAGTACGAGCGGCACTAAAAGTACTTTTGATGCCGCTCCAGCGGCACTAAAAGTACTTCTACTGCCGCTGCGGTTGCCTAGCAGCATAAAAATTAATTTTCTACCACCTCGACAGGTGTAAACTCGCTGGATTTGCCTACCAGCATAGAAATTAAAATTCTAACATCTTGACAAGTGCTGACAAAGTGACGTTTTTTTGACGTTTGGAGAAAAAATATAATTCCTCTGCAAAAAGTGATTTTCCTACTGTACTCTATCTATCTGACTATCATAACAAAACACTGATCCTGAGATCAGTGTGTGGGATTCTCAATCGTTAGTCGATACGTAACGTCCCGATACATTTGTAGAAAGGCAATGGGATAGTTGTTAAGCGCCGAAATACAACCTCAGTTTCAAAATAATTATTGTGTGCGTCCGCAGCCGTTTCAAGCATGGTGTGGGTGTGTAACAAATTTCCCCCTTCCTGCCCTTGCCAAATCACCAGTTGTGACGTAACAGCATGTTAATTATTTCTCGCCTTGACGTAGGCTGCAGGTGACGACTTAGCTATGACGTCGGAAATGGTGACACACCAATATAGCGACCAAAAACGAGGCCGATAAGCAATCCTGAGGTGTGTATCATCCTCTCTTGAATTTGACATTGGGCGCTTTTTTTTATTCACCGATGGATTCATCGATGACCGGTCTATCTTTGGCTAGTTCATAGAAAATCGGAAGGGCTGTCTCATAATCATCGCAGCAGATGAATCCATCGATGAATAAAAGAAAGCGTCCATTGTGTCTTCAATCTTCTTGAGTGGTTTCGAAAACCTCTTAATAAAAAAACAGATTTTAAATATCACATTTATGCATGACGATTGCTAATTACAAATATATTTTTAAGAGGATAATAAATTCTATCATTTAGTATCCAAGCCAAACCATAGCTGAACCGAAGCGTTCCACAGATAAGTCGCATTTTCAGAACCAGACATTACCATAGAAGATGAACCGTTTTATACCGATCGGTAGGTCTGGTAAGTAGTTACAGTGAGCTCTGGTTGAGATACGGAACGCCAACTACAATATTTTTCATCATAAAAATTCTAAACCACGACCGCTGGCGCAAACAGCTGACGACTTATTTAATGACGTCGCCAATGGTGCTACACCATATGACCGCGATTGCCAAAAACGAGGCTGATAAGCAATCTAGTAGTAGTGTGGATTATCCTTGACATTTATAAAATTACGCAGGCAGGGTTCTTCTATTTCTTCCAGCGCCATCTTGTGGATTTGGAAATATTTGTTTGAAACAGCTGCTTCTATTGTATATAAGTTATCTATAGATGGCAGCAAATATTCAATAACAAATTTAAACGTAAATACAGTGCAGTGGATTGTAGATTGCATTTATTTCTGTTCTGATTCCTGATTCTGGAGTTTCTAGTAGTTGGAAGACAACTTAACTATCAACTTAATTTCAAAATAACAAGACATTCCAATAAATTAAACCACATTTTTTCATATCAGCTCAAATCTCAAATGCATTATTTGCACAAGTTTATTATGTTTGAAAAATTCGCAACCCAGCTGGAAAAATCATCTGTCAATCCAGTATCTATTTTGGGTGGGGTTTAAATCATTTTTACCCCAATTTTTCGTCTTCATTTTCCTTCCTTAATTAAATTTATCTAGCAAACGGAATGATACAAAACTACCCCTGACTGTATTTAGAAAAAAATTATTTACTAAAAGTTCCTGACGTGAAGTTTGAGGTTAGAGTTAGAAATTCAGGTGACAGTTCTGCAAGAAACCTTTACCTCCCAGTGTTGTCCGGATTGTTTTTCGTTTATTTTTGGGCAAAATCCCTAAAAATATCGGGTTTTGTCAATTTTTCCCAATAGGAAAGGTTCTCTCGCGAGTTCTACGAGAAAATTATGTGAAAATCTGGACTTTTTGGTCATCAAATTATCTTGTGAAAGTGATGGTGTAATTTTCCTATGGACGCCATTTTGATTTGCAGCAAGTTATTTTGTAAGTTTTTACTGTTTCTTTAAAATGTTGTATTTTGTAAACAAGCCTTATTAATTTGTTTACGTTTTGCCATCAGACTATCCAATTTTATGTTATTTTTAATAAATCAGCATCGATTTTTGGGGATTTTTTAAGAAAAATAGGTTCAGGAAAAATAGGACAATCCCTATTATTTTCTTTTTGGTAATTGGTATTGATTAGGAATCAGCAAAACTCTATAATAATTATCCCTGTTAAAATTTTCTGATTTGAGGAATGTAGCATACAGCATACTACTTTTTGAACATACACCTACCTGGCAGCCTATAAAGCCACCGAAAAAGCAACCAAATCCCTTGGTAATTACCTATCTACCTACCTAGGCAAAGCAGACCCAGATCCTTTTATGGTACATAATTAAAATGGGTAATATTTCTGGTTTGGTTCAACGTTCAACAGAAGGTTCATCTGTGTTGAATATTAATCATTCAGATGTTCTGTATAAATCTTGCTCTAAATAAAATTCTTAGGAAGTACTCATTTCTAAGTAGTAGGTAAGTAAGTGAGGTCATTATTTTTCAAAAGTTCATTCACCTACCAACATGTAAATCCGTCTAGTTTTTTATCACCTACTTATCAGAAAAACAGCTCCTAGTTCGCTGGGGTATCCAGTCACCCTGAGAATTTGTACAACTTGGGGGCTCTAAATTTTTAGAGCACATATTTAAACAATAACTCATAAGATGTCAATGCCCTTACAATAAATTACCGTGGGCCAATATCTCTTCCATAATTTATACAGAGGAGTACAAAAATTCTGTTGTTGCAATCATCACACCAGGGATAATAAAATACAATAAATAAAAAAATATGAATTTAATCAAGCTTTCAAAAACTATCGTTACAAAATTTCAGTGACACTGTAGTCTTTTAACCAACATTTTACAGCTCCATAAAACATTTCAAAAATTGCACAACTCCAATCAACTATCCGGTGAGCGAAAGTGCAAGTTCTTACCTCAATTACATAACGACATAGTCAAAGTTGATGGTGGGTTATTGATTATTAACATTTTTTCAATTGAAAAAACACTGTTACATAGATATAACAAGTGATATATTCTTCTGTTAGGTAGACACACGAAACCGAAGACAAAAAACAAATTCAAACTTAGCGTACCGATTTTAGATATTAGAATTTTATTTGGGAGACACGTTAAGCTCGGCGTTTTGATGCCCAGGAATTTGTTTTTTTATTTCCCATCGATATTACTCTTTTTCTTCCCTAATCTCACTCGCAGTCAACAGAGTTTAACTTTTCTCAAACTACCGTATATTTCTCATCAGCTATCAAGGATGCTCAAAAGGGAATTAACAGGCCAAAATACAAGAATTGCATTTTACAATACGAAGACAATTGGCAGACAACAATTTTCAAAGACCAAAGACAAGACCAAAAAAAGTGACAAAACAGACATCATTTATGAGATTCCATGCAACAACTGTCCCAAGGTTTATATAGGACAAACTTTGCAATATTTAAAAAAACGCATCTACCAACACAAATACAATTGCAACCTAACAAATAGAGAAAAAACAGAACAAACGGCATTAAGCATCCATCATTTCGAGGAAGGCCACAATTTCAAGTTTGACGAAACCAGAATTATTGATTCGGAAAGAAATTATGGAGAAAAGGTTGTTTGTGGAGATGGCACACATTGTAAAAAATAAGGCTACTGTCAATTTAAAAACGGATTGTGATAACTTGAGCAGAATCTACAACAACATCCTCATTAATTTTACTGATTGCTAATAATTTTTTTTTATTTGTTAAACAAAAACCAAATATCATTCCTTATCCAAACCAACATTATGTATTTCAAAAAGAGTAATATCGATGGGAAATAAAAAAACAAATTCCTTTATATCAATAGGCATCAAAACGCCCAGCTTAATGTGTCTCCCAAATAAAATTCTAATATAAATCGGTACACTAAGTTTGAATTTGTTTTTTATCTTCGGTTTCGTATGTGTAACAGAATATATCTCTTGTTATATCTATGTAATAGTGTTTTTTCAGTTGAAAAAATGTTAATAATCAATAACCCACCATCAACTTTGACTATTTCGTTATGTAATTGAGGTATATAAGAACTTGCACTTTCGCTCACCAAATGGTTGATTTTATCCTTAGATTATATCGGGTCTTCAAAAAAAAACCAATCAAAGATTGCTTTGATTACGAAAACGTATGTCGCAGTATTGTTTTTTTATTGGTCAGGATTTTTGACATTAAATTTTGACAATAAAGTTAATTGACCTTTTGTTTGGACGCCATATTGCGGTGCGCGAACATAATTGCCAAAAGTAGAAAAAAAAAATTACTATCGTTCTGTCAACATTAAAAACAAAAGTTACTGATTGATATAAAGGAATTTTAGGCCAATCTCATTGTTGCCTACAATGTCTAAAGTAATAGAAAAGCTAGTCAAGGCGCGTTTAATGTGTTTTCTTAAAAAACATAGTATTCTCTGTTGTGAACAGTTTGGATTTCGGGAGTCATGTGGCACAAATGATGCAATTTTCGCATTTTTGGAGAAACTATATTTGGGATTAAATAACGGTGATGTCGCAGCAGCGGTTTTTTGTGATTTGTCAAAGGCCTTTGACTGTGTCAATCATAAAATAATGTTATGTAAGCTGGAAGCCTATGGGGTGAGGGGGGTAGCTCTAAAGTGGTTTGAGTCCTACTTTTCTGAACGGGCACAGAGAGTTACTTTTGATGGTGTTGATTCAGAACAACTGATGTCTATCAACTTAGCGAGACAACTTCGAAAAATCGATTTTCCATTATGCCAAGAATTTGCCGCTTTTTTGCCGCTAATTAAATGTGGAATTAAAAAATTTGCCGCTCTTTTGGTTTTTTCTTAATTACGTGTTTTGCTAACTTGACGTCAAGATAGCGAGACAACATCACTAAATATGTCGGCAGTAAAAAATTAGGTAGGTGAAAATTTGCCGTTTTTTTGCCGCTAATTAGTTGTGAATACCAAAAATTTGCCGGTTCTTTTTTTTTCATAAAAAATCAAGTTTGAAAAAAAAATCATTTGTCTCGCTAACTTGACATCAAGTTAGCGAGACAATATCACTAAAAATGTCGGTAGTGAAAAATTGAATGAATGGAAATTTGCCGTTTTTTTGCCGCTAATTAGTTGTGAAAACCAAAAATTTGCCGCTTTTTTTTTTACAAAAAAATCAAGTTTGAAAAAAAAATCATTTGTCTCGCTAACTTGACGTCAAGTTAGCGAGACAACATCACTAAATATATCAGCAGTAAAAAATTAGGTAGGAGAAAATTTGCCGTTTTTTTGCCGCTAATTAGTTGTGAAAACCAAAAATTTGCCAGTTCTTTTTTTTTTCATAAAAAATAAAGTTTGAAAAAAAAAATCATTTGTCTCGCTAACTTGACATCAAGTTAGCGAGACATTATCACTAAAAATGACGGTAGTGAAAAATTGAATGAATGGAAATTTGCCGTTTTTTTGCCGCTAATTAGTTGAGAAAACCAAAAATTTGCCGGTTCTTTTTTTTTCATAAAAAATCAAGTTTGAAAAAAAAATCATTTGTCTCGCTAACTTGACATCAAGTTAGCGAGACATTATCACTAAAAATGTCGGTAGTGAGAAATTGAATGAATGGAAATTTGCCGTTTTTTTGCCGCTAATTAGTTGTGAAAACCAAAAATTTGCCGCTTTTTTTTTTACAAAAAAATCAAGTTTGAAAAAAAAATCATTTGCTCGCTAACTTGACATCAAGTTAGCGAGCCATTAGCACTAAAAATGTCGGTAGTGAAAAATTGAATGAATGGAAATTTGCCGTTTTTTTGCCGCTAATTAGTTGTGAAAACCAAAAATTTGCCGCTTTTTTTGCCGCTAATTAGTTGTGAAAACCAAAAATTTGCCAGTTCTTTTTTTTTTTCATAAAAAATCAAGTTTGAAAAAAAAAATCATTTGTCTCGCTAACTTGACATCAAGTTAGCGAGACACTAAAAATGACGGTAGTGAAAAATTGAATGAATGGAAATTTGCCGTTTTTTTGCCGCTAATTAGTTGTGAAAACCAAAAATTTGCCGGTTCTTTTTTTTTTCATAAAAAATCAAGTTTGAAAAAAAAAAATCATTTGTCTCGCTAACTTGACATCAAGTTAGCGAGACATTATCACTAAAAATGTCGGTAGTGAAAAATTGAGTGAATGGATATTTGCCGTTTTTTTGCCGCTAATCAGTTGTGAAAACTAAAAATTTGCCGCTACTTTTTTTTTCATAAAAAAATCGTGTTCGAAAATAAAATAATGTTTTGCTAATTTAACGTAAAGTTGGCGAGATCACTAAAAATGTCGGTAGTGATAAATTTAGTGAGTGGAAATTTGCCGCTAATTAGCTCTTTTTCTACAAGAAAATATCGCGTTTGAACCAAATGTCATGTGTTTCGCAAAACAGTATCAATAAAAATGTCGGTAGAAAATTTCATTCATCTGTCAAAACTGGTATTCGAACCATAAACCAGTGTTGTCAAAGCTATCGAAATTTCGGTATTTCTACCGAAATGGCAACGGACCTACCGAAATACCGAATACTCATGAATTTTTACCGATTTTCGACAATAATCACGATTCTACCGATTTTTTTACCGTTTTTCACCAAAAAATTAATTGTATCAGTTTTGTTTTCGCCGATTTTTCTATCGATAACCGCACCCGATGTACTATCAAATTGTTTGTCCGTGTCAGATGTCAAATAGATCCTCCGACGACAAATTTGTTAGCAATGGTTGGTATCAGTGCATTTCTTTCAGGGAATACCCGTGGGTCCTGTGATATCCGAATTTGTTTATAATATCTTGTCATTGCCCCATTTTTCCGCCAATGTTGAGCGCACATTCTTAGGAATAAATCGAATGAAAACAGCACAAGGAAATAAACTTTCCACGGAAACAATCACTGGGCTTTTACATACTTAA